GATAACATCTATCCGGGCCATCAAATGCAGCGTTTATATTCAACGATACCGAAGTATTCTACTTTACACTCCACATGAACGTGCCCGCGACACCGGAAGAAACAGTACATGCTCCAGTAGGCGCCATGCCCTCCAGTGCAAATTCTCGTGTTTCAAGTGTTTCCCAGTGTGCGCCAAGTCACAGCGATCAATCCAGCGCTCCTACAAGCGCTTCCCAGGCATTTCTGTGTGAGCCTACTGAGCTGCCAGAAAATCTCAGTGCCAGTACCAGAAAACATACTGGTATCACGCTGGGGACGCTGCTTTTGTCAATAGGGCGTGGCGTCTCTCATAATCGTATCTTGAATTGGAAAAATTAACCAATACATAAATATTATTAGTATTATACCGCTTTAAAATCTTATGAATACGAAAAAAGTGCTGTTTACGAGTATGAAGCCCGTGAGCATGTATTTTCGATGGCCGAAAAAGATTATGCATGAGTTTTGATGTCCTTTGAGCCATGTTTGGCCAAACAGTACCAGGAAACTGATTAGAGCTGAAAATAATCTAGAATAATTTTGCGCAGCCACATAGGAGCTCTAAATTGCGCGCCGTAAGGTTAGTAAAATATACTAGTAATGAGATCTTGGGGGGTGATTTAAAATGTGCAAATGTTAAGACACTGCAGAGCTTGGGGTGATATTTTTCTTTGGTGGAAACATAGTATTATCACAATTGCCTCGTTAATGTCCTTAAGACCAAATGCCGCGAGGTAGGTGCTTTTCTTAATGCGGTCACTACAGTAAGAGCCTGTGTATGGTATGAGAATAATGCGCTTTCAGACAAGCAACAAAATTATTCGTGTTTAGTAAACGATGCCTACCAATCAGCATGCATGGGTGTATTGGAAGGTTTGGTTGGTAATAAAATAAAGTCACTCTTTTAGCGTATTTTAAATCATTACAGTGCACAAAGGTGTGGAGAACTCTAAGTAGTTATTCGCATGTTTCGCAGGTGATTTGATCACCGACTGATAGCAGATATCCATGTGTGCTGCGTGCGTGCCCTCTTTGTGGTAGGCTAATAGTCACTTGTGCGTTGGGTGATATGAATACTGGAGGTCAGTTTGCAAGACTTGGATTGAGAACATGTAGTTTATTTCATCATCATCATCATCATCATCATCATCATCATCATCATCATCATCATCAGCCTAACTACGTCCACTGCAGGACAAAGGCCTCTCCCATGTTCCGCCAGTTAACCCGGTCCTGTGCTTGCTGCTGCCAATTTATACCCGCAAACTTCTTAATCTCATCTGCCCACCTAACCTTCTGTCTCCCCCTTACCCGCTTCCCTTCTCTGGGAATCCAGTTTGTTACCCTTAATAACCAGCGGTTATCCTGTCTACGCGCTACATGCCCGGCCCATGTCTATTTCCTCTTCTTTATTTCAACTATGATATCCTTAACCCCCCTTTGTCCCCTAATCCACTCTGCTCTCTTCTTGTCTCTTAAGGTTACACCTACCATTTTTCTTTCCACTGCTCGCTGCGTCATCCTCAATCTAAGCTGAACCCTCTTTGTAAGTCTGCAGGTTTCTGCTCCGTAGTTTATTTACTGCTTATCTATCCCATAGGCACTGCCAATAAAACGTCAGCTCTCGTTTCAGGAGGTCCTTGAGGTAAGGCACAGGTACAGCTGGGAATCAATTGACGGCAGCGTTGTCTTAGGCGGATGCATCTGTTGATTCACCAACACGTTTCCCCTGATCCCATGGTGCCCTGGCACCAAGAACATGACCAAATGGTGTTTGAACGCATAGAACGTACGAAACACATTGAAGTAACGAGCAAAAACCTAATTTATTTTGTTGTTTCTTTCAGAAATTTCAACGCTTTCTCAACGCTTAAGGTGTCCGTATACAGTTTTAATTCTATGATTTGTTTAATATCCACAAATATTGCGTAATCTTCTGCAATCAAGATGCTTTGATTGGTATGCACGATTCCGGTATCTCAAAAGAATGGAACAATGGATGCATACGACTCACCAGTTTGAAGCTTTGAAATATCCGTAAAGCATTCAAGAGAGGTGTTCACACAGCTTTGCGCACACAATTGTAGTTGGGCAAAATGTAGTCACAGAATTGTACTTGCGCACAGTTGCGCGCACAATTGTAGCCATCTTCGCTTAAGGTAATGGGTAGGTTGAAGACTAAAAGAAAGAAAAAAATGCATTCTCCCACTCTCCTGTTCTTGCTTATTGAAAATAGTGTGTATGTGTTATAGAATGATAAATACAGCGCTCTCATTTACATGTGGTGTGATCAAGATTCGGTATGTGGGAAGCTAGATCGAAGAAGATGAAGAAGATGACAGAATAGTAAAGCCAGCCCAGGACTGTGTGCTATCTTTGTGTCTCGTTCATTACTATGTCTTAGTTTACGGCACCTGAACCATCTGGTTGAAGTTATCTGCCTTTCTGGGTCATCGGCCGCGGGTCTCTTTTTCGGGAAAGCGGTTCATGCTTGCTCTCATGAAAACCAGAATCCTAAGACCACCGGCACGACCTACCCAGTCTTTGAAGATGGTTTCTAAGCCTTCTTGGTGGCCAGCGCATCATCTCCTGCTGCACACAAACGCTATTCTTGCTTGCCGTGGCGACAATCTTTCACTCCGTAGTCCATCGACGTATTAGCTGCGAAGAGGTGCAGTTAAGGCTCCCTATGAAAACGATCGTACTTGAGTGAGCCCAGTTACAACCTCGTTCTTGGCCAACATTCACACAGGCTTCACTTGCAGATAATATAATAGCACTGCAGACATTTAACGTACAATCACGCGACGCCACGTCATGCTCAATGCCCTGAGAGTGTCAAGCTCTGTGCTCATTTCTCGTGCGAGTTTTGCCAAACAATGACAGTTTGTAGGCTATAGCTGCCTCACATGACCTAGAGGTCTTATCACCAATTAAGCGCAGACTTTCGGTCTACCCTCACGCCGCTCTCACACCAGCTGAGCTACTTCGCGTGCTCACTTTCCAGTTTTCTACCTACCATCCCACCACTGCTGGCTGCCTGGAAACTAGCAGAGTTCAATGGCTTTCGAGAAGACGTCAACAAGTGGCTATCGACTGCGAATGAACTTGGAGCTGGCAAAGTCGGGACAGACCAGCAGATATCGTGTGTAGCTATAGACTGTCTTCCAAATGGTGCCACGGCGTCGCACAGATATAAAAGTGTGCAGCAGCAGTCTTGGCCAGAGGAGAGCTTCAAGCTCATTGCTGCTTTTGGCCGGACTCCCCCCCACCCCTATGCCGCCGCGAACATCAACCTCATCGTTACTGAGGAAGCATTGTAGTAGTGCTTACACTCGAGGCTGCAGCCATGCGTTTCAGCTCCTCACTCGAATGTTCGCATTCTTTGCTTCCATCAGACTCAGGTGTATCACACACAAAGAGCACCATCAAAGTCACCTGCATAGTGAAGGGTGTCACTCAAATGACGGACCGTCATGAAATCAACCCGGCTGTAGAGCTCTATACGCACATACATTGGTCTGCAGAAAATCATCCGCAGGGAGCACAGAAACAGGCTCCAAGGTACGCGTCACTGTTCCCTTCTCAGGGTCTATGTCGGGACTTATCTGACGAACTTTGCTACCAGCTAGCCAATAGCACTTTTAAGTCAGAGCTGTTGCAGTCGCGGACCCGAAGCTTAGCTTCGCATGGAGACATGGAGCCCCTACTCCTTCAGGAGATGAAATACATGTGCAGAAAAGACTGCACTTCCGAGTGAACATGACCCTTTCAATCACCACTATCAGATCGGCCTGCTGTTAGCAGCGAGACTCTTTTCTATCAGTTTATCACACACCTAGAGTCATTGGTCAAGCTCGTGAACTTTATTCATGCATCCCACGCAGAAAGTCAGCATCGGCTATTCCCTTGACATGGTGTGCGATCTTGCGGACGACGAGAAGCACGCTATTGTAATTACCATCGTACCACCTGAACCCAGGTGACACAAAAACTGTTGGCGCCACTATTCAAATCGTCACCGATTGTTCGGGCCATGACCAGCTCGGTCAAGGCAACGAGATTTCATACAACTCCAACAACATCGGCGTGAGATGCAACAATGATTGCATTCGTGCATATAGATGTGTTGCTGAGTCAGCAGAGATCATCTTTTACCGAAGAGACCACTGATCATGTTGCTAATAAGCGGGTAAGTAGAGCAAATTCTGACTCCCCAAGAGAGGTAGATGTCTACCTACAGAGGAAGCAGTTCATAGCCCTGCAAACGATGAGCTCCAATTTCGGTAAAAAGGCTCACACCGAGTCCCTAATTGTGAGTTCTCTGAAAACACAGCATTTCAGAAGTAGCAGCAACGGAAATGGTGAGCAAGATGGAACATTAACTTCACCAACAATATCATGCACTAGTAATCAAACGTCAAAATTCATTGAAAACGGTGTTTGGTGATGGCAACATAACAATTCAGAAATCTCTGAGTCATATTCAAGCACAATTGTTTTTCTGAGACCGTCCAGCAGAACCTTGTTTGGACCATGAATCTGGAAATATTGATGCCCATGGCGAATTAGTAATGAGAAGAAATCGTGGGATGTGGTTTAAAACATTTTACACTGTTTTAATCTAACGCCCAATTCACTTTCTTCGTTTAGGGCGAATGCTTGATCCATACTGATCCACGTTTTGTGAATCACTCCGACAACTTGTTTTGCTTGTATTTTTTGTACATGCTTCCATCTGAATACGCTACAGTGTTTGTCTTTTCTTCGAATGGTTTATTATTATAAATGTTTGATATTGATAGCATAATGCATATTGCAAAGTCTTGGCACATGTGCAGGAAAAATGTGCATTCTTGCACTTTGTCCCTATTCTGCTCAAAACAATCGTAAGCATAGCACCTGTGACCCGATTTATTTTTTTTTCATATTTATCTGAGCGCGGTCATAAATGCTTCTTTTCAGTTGACAGATTTTCGTTTGTATAGCGGTTGCCCGCGTTTGTATAGCTTGCAGGGAATCATACATTCAGCTCGACTACCTTAAAGAAAGGTGGACGGGCCAGCCTCACAATGTGGTCAGCAGTGTTATTTCCTCTCATAGTGTCTGTGCTCGATACGGTGAAAAATTGTCATGCTCAAAAGAGAAGTGTCGCTCTACCATTCTGGGTAAATGAAGCAGTTTTTGGGCCTTCGCAAAATGCCTTTGAGGTAAGCACGTAATCACTTTCACTTTGCGTATACCACATATATATATATATATATATATATATATATATATATATATATATATGTATGTATATATATATATATATATATATATATATATATATAGCGAGAAGAAATGATGCTGGGTTCGAGTAAAAATATCCGCAATGAAGTTGACACGCGTGCGAAGTAACCTTATTGACGTTTCGACTGCGGGTCCAGTGTTCATCAGAATAACAGTGCATGGCAAGAGTGCTGTTTATATACATAACATATCAAAGAAAATAAACATGAAAACTGGCATGACAGGTGACTGGTGAAGTATGTGCAAACATAAATGCATGTCATCCGCTTTGAAGTGCAGCAGATACACGTGTAAAAATGATATCATTTCAATGAGCGAACACGCGGTGAGCACGTGGTTTACAAATGAAGGATAAAACGCATAAGATGTCATGTAGTACGACCAGTAGTTTCAAGGTGCAAAAGCAATTCAATAAGTAAAAAAAACATGAGAGTGCTATATTAAATACGTGACTGAGCCGCTACGAAAACCCGTTAAACCATAAAAGAGCATAGCTTCCCGTCTAGTGAAAATTGATTGGTTATTGTGAGGCGCAATAAATTTCAATACAGTTACACTGAAATTCTCTATTTTCCACGGTGAATAGGCAAAAATGTACATAAAAACCCGGCTGATCCTCTTTTCTAGAAATCAGTATAACATGAAAATTAAACGTGTCTTCACAGAGGTGGTTAAGCGTTTATTGTTCACGTTTGCGCCACAAGGGCGAAAGAATGAGTGCTATAGCAACAAATTGTGAAGTGACGCGAACAATGACAATCAGCTCAATAATTGCAGCACGTCGTTCAAAAATGCACAAAAAAAGACGCGCGAAACTAACTGAAGGCAACTGTGCACAACTGCTTCGATTCCTACTTCTTCGTGTGTCAGCAGCGTGCTCCTTTTGGAAGCGCGGCTGCAGCCATGAGCGAAGTGAACTTCATGCTCACCCGAATGACGAGTCCAATAAGCGTGCAAAGGAGTGGCAATGTTCCGTAGTTGATGGTTTTTACTCTGTTGTTCTTTCCACTTTTTTTATCGGTTGTACTGCCCCTTGCCTACGCAAACAAGGCAGTGAAAGGTTTCTTACTGTTGGACAAAATGCTCTTGATGCTCGCCTCTAACTGTAATTTTGGTATAATTACGGACAATAAATTGGATTCATTCTTCTATGTGAGCGTCTATGCTAACTAGCTATATTTCAAATAGGACAACTCACAGATAATAAAGCCGAGGAAAGTATGTAGCACGGTATTTCTACTTCGTGTAGTTATTTAGAGGACATTAAACTGCACGAAAACGCAGTGTGGCGCCAATAGTGACCCAACCTGCGTGACAATAGTGACCCAACCTGTGTTATCCGAATAACATGTCCGTTGTTGTACGCAGCAACCGTGTTCTGGTCCACTTCATTGAGTGTTTATTAAAGGAGAGTTCAATATCCTGGAAAATCAGGAAAATTCTCAATTGCTTCTTTGTATGGTCCGGCATCCTAAAAGTTTACATACATACTTAAGGCCAGTAAATAGGAAATTTAAACAATTATTTTTTAATCACCAGAGCTTTGTGGCCTCATAGCCAAACGCCCACTACAGGTTTGGAACTTCGAAAAAGCGGTTTTTACACTAGAATTTTAAAGTATAATAAGAGTCTTCCAAGTCCTGCTGTAAAAAGGAAGTGGAAACTTGGAAGAGAGCAACTGCGATATTCATCTGAGGCGGCCTTCACGAGTGTGCGTCATTATATCAACCACGAAATAACTTCGTTGTGAATGTGCGTAGGCTTCGCTGGCAATATTAGCACATATGACGCACATACGTTTCGATGAATGGACAACAATTGCACCTCTGTAACCGTTGTATTGAACAGTGACGTTATTCTAGCCGTCCGCTTGTTGCGCTTGTCGGCATTCAAGTTTCAATTTTATTTTTTCATTTGCTTAAAGTTAATGATCCAAAACAGGTAATAGAGCCAAGCATTTTTGTATCTCAAAGTTATGGCTTTATTTTTGCATGAAGAATTTATAGTAACAAATTCGGTTTAACCACACAACTTTCCGCAATAAAAAGCTAACTGTTTTAACTATATTGTTTACTTCTCCAAATGGTGTTTTCATCATTCTCCTCAAGATGGAAGCCAGTAAAGCAAAAAAACTGCTGAAGACAGCGAGCAAATATTGAGCTTGAATGATGTTTTGAGGATTCGGAACAGGTTTCTTAAAGCACCCTTATATGTGCCTATTATAAGGGGAGTGTTAATGTGCCACTCGTAGCCATTATATAGCGCGAGAATAGAACACTTTATTTTATTCAGGTGGCATCATCTTTTTTTTTTTGAGCCATCAGCTAACCAATTATTTCTAGCATGCTACGTGCATGCACGCTCTATGACAGTACAACGCTTTTCCTGTCACTTTTAAAATGCAAATAATTTTTTTTGCGAACTTCAGCAATTTTGAGTCTATCTATCTATCTATCTATCTATCGATCTATCTATCTATCTATCTATCTATCTATCTATCTATTGTTATGCCTGGTAGTTCAGAGCGAACGTCTATGCCTCTGAAAAAGGCAATCTGTGTCAAGGCCAGCACGTGAGCCCGCCTGACGCGAACAACTCAACAGCGTCATCACGCGGCGGTGCCTTTCTGTCGCGCACGAACAGCAAGCCCGTCTAAGCAATCGGCGCCTTTCTGTCTGGCGAGTCTGACGCAATGCGTCTCGACGTCACTCGTCCTTGGGTGCAGCCACGTGCAGCGCAGCGGCTCCGGATTCGATGAGAATGACGCGGCCCAGCGGCGACCCCATTGGAGGATTCTGACCTCACGACCAGCGGCGCTTCTTGTTGGACATATGGTTACTCAAATAATCCACCCGGTGCATATAAAAAAAGCCCGGCGGCGCGTCGCGAGTAATAAACCAATGTGTCAGAGGAGAGAGCTCGGCTGGTTGAGTCTCTAAGCTGTCGGCCCCAGTGCCGAATTTGTAACGCCTCTATGTCTTTGCTGTACATAAACCTTGTTAACTCACCGTCGTTTCGTCCGCTCGTCTATCAGCTCTGCGCAGAAGCAGTCGTGAGCGGAGAAACCTACCGTACCAAACAGCTGGTGACTTTCCCGACGGAGTTCGAAGCAGTGGCGCCATCGGGACCGTGTTGGCGTCGCCGTCTTTCGTAACAGTGGTTGAAGTGTTGAGATTTTGTTGCGCCCTTCGTAACACTATCTATCTATCTATCTATCTATCTATCTATCTATCTATCTATCTATCTATCTATCTATCTATCTATCTATCTATCTATCTATCTAGCCCCCTGCAACTTATAGCTATCCTTGCCGTTTGGATAACTGTATCGATACCAAACTTGGCTTGATATAACATGACTGTACGGCTAACATTACTGACTAGTCATAACATGAAGATCATGACTTGTAAGTCATAAATGTTATGATTTATTTGTCATGGTCTTGCTGCTTTTGCGATTGTTTCACTCATATGATATATTGCAAAAGTGGTATGGTATGACATGACTGCATGGCGATCACAAGAGACAGACTCTAACATCAAAACCATGACATGCGTGTCAAGTAACAACATCACTAGATGATGTACTCGCGGCGATTTCACTGGCATTGCATATACCTAATTTGGAATTACGGGACGTGATTTGATGACGAAGGTATGTGACTGGTGCAAACATGATAATTGTGAGATGCGTGTAATGTAAAAACATCACTACATGCTACGCTCATGATGCACTCGTGGCCGTTTCGCTAGCTTTACATGTACCAAATTCAGTATTACGTGGAGCGAACGGACTACATAGGTAAATGACACGCCCAAACATGATAATCACAACATGCGCTCATGTAACCACATGACTACTTCTTACACTCAAGATGTGCTCGTGGCCATTTCGCTAACTTCGCATATGCCAAAATTTGGTATTACGTCAGGTGAAATTTGGTATTACGTCACGAAGCAAGCACATACAAAGGTATGTGCTTGCTGCAAACATGATAATGATGAGATGTGTGTCCTGTAAGAACAATAATACACGCCACACTCAAGGCGCCAATACACTTCGATGTGAGCTGGCGCGCGTGCACGTCGGCGATGCCGTGCCAGGCGCCAATATTCCCTTAGTAGAAATCAGTGGATGTGCCCACTGACCTTCATTGTGGATATGCACGCGAATAGCACGCAGGCGCACGCCGCGCTGCATTGCTTTGACGCATGCGCGTTTCAGTGCATGCGGCGTCCCTCCGTCATGAAGAGAGGTAGACGCGGTGAGGTGTAAGGTCATCGGTGCCAAATGGAGAATGTCGCATATCGCGCCGGTGTCCACCGGGTCGCGCCGACGAACGGTGGTCGCGGCGGTTGCGCCTGGCGTCATAATATAGAGAGCTCGCTTTTGCTAGCGTGGCGTCGCTGCACTCAGTCTGCGCGTGCGTCATTGTTGCGTCGCAGTATACTGGGTCCTTGATGACGCACTCACCTCCGTTGCGCAAGCTCCACATGTACCGAATTTGGTATCACGGGAAATGAATAGACGACAAAGCTAAATGACATGTCCAAACCTGATAATGATGACATGGATTTCATTTAAAACATGACTACATCCTACGATCATAGCACGATCGCGGCCGTTTTGCTAGATTCATATGTAATAAAGTTGGTGTCAGGGGACGTTAATAGATGACGAAGGTAAATGAAACGTCCACACAAGATAATAATGACATGGAAGTCATGTACTGCATGACTTGCGAAGCATACCTCGTAAAGTTGTGCTGGTTTTAAAGTGACCTATCACCCTTCCTCTTTCGTGCTTCGTATATCATCGATTCCCACTGTAAGTGGGACCTGCCGATTTTTGACGATCATATGAGTATTACTACAAATACGACCTGTTGTAAGTTTTTTGGCTTGATGACCTGTTAGATGCCAATCATTGTCCAACAGCAAAATTTAGTCATAAAATCACGCCTTCTTATGTTCAAACTTCGTTATCCTGTGTCTAATATGCTACGTTCATATTTTACAGAATGTTAACAGAGGAGGAAACGGCGTATACGCACTCTTGTGGGCCACATACAACAATGACCCTGCTGCATTGGGTCATCACTTCAAGTGTGTCATCGCATATAACACCAAGCGGAATGCTCTAGACCACACTCTGCGATCCCATTTCAAATTTAGAAACGATAGAAGTGGAACTTCATAGTAAGTGCCTAAATACAAAGTGCATTCAAATCAATTTATTTATATGAACAAAGAAAATTATTTATAATCAAAGGAAAACAAGCTATGCAATGTAACTTATGACAGACACAACTCTAGCGTAAATGGTATAAAGTGGTTCGCTTTTATACATTTCTGATTTTGTTTAGCAATATTGCTAAACCGTACAACTTCATACAGTTACGTAACATCATGCTCTTGTTGTTATCAGTGCCTAAGAAGGGCCCTAGAGCTGATGCAAACCAACTTGGTCAAAGGGTAGGGGAGACCCTATTGTCAAGCTAGACGCGTGCCATGCTCACTGTCTAGAAATTTAACTTGTGCAAATGGAAAACCACACTTTACATATATGAACAAAAGAACTAAATCATAGACACGTTAGTGTGTTATAGGAACTCTTGCTAACAGCAATTCAAAAATTCATTCATTTCAGACACCCAACTATTTCGAAGGAAGGCGCTTTGTTTACGGGAGCACAGTGGATGAATATTGATGTAGTTGAGAGCGTTAAAGCTCGTTTGACGTAATGTGGCAATCCATTTCATGAGAACGTTCAACGAACTGCTTCGTGCCCATTTGCAACTTATTGCGCTTTGAACCAACAATTAGCAAAAACTTAGTAGCTCTGTGCATTGCTAGGGCTCACTAGGCACGTCCAGCACACTCACATGCGCAGGATAAAGTCCGAAATGACATAAGCAGTTACAATGTAGCAAAGAAGTCACTTTTGAAGAGAGAAAATGCAAGCAGGGTACAATGACTGCGGGAACGAAAGATAACGCTGGTACAAATGGGAAGGTCACACGACGAAGAGAAACCAGGTCAAAACCCACAGAGCGCTGCTCTAGAAGTAAAAACGCACCCGAACACAACGTACGCGAAGAAAGAATGCACTCTGGATGAAAACGAACTAACAGCGTTCATTGCTCAACAGTCACAGCACTCCTCAAAAGCAAAGGACGAAAGAAATGTAAACGCACAGGTATGCACGGAATGAGTGTGAACTAACTCGTGTCACAATGGTTACTGCGCTGTGCTAAAAAAGCTTGGTCTTTTCACTAACGGGGGCTGTGTAGCGAGGGACGTGACCTTCGCGGGCTCCGTAACTACAATGCAATCGTTGTGGTAGAAGCCCGAAGCGTAGAATGCTCTCCCACGAAAAGGTAAATGAGTGGGCACGGCAAGGAAAACGCTCATAGCAGGGGGTCAGCGAGCACGTCCTTCGCGCCATCTCAATATTTCACTTCTAACTGAGAACACGCTGATATCCCTTGCTATATCAGCGCGCTGCTAGCGGTAAATATTAAGTGGTAAGTGGTAATTTGGGGGCACGTCAAAAAAAACACAAGTGGTAAAAATTTCCGGACCCCTCCACTACGGCATCTCTCATAAACATATCATGGCTTAGATACGTTACACCCCCCCAAACGAAAATCTAATATTAAGTGGTAAAAGCAGAGCGTTACTACGACAAAGCGAATGATATATATATATATATATATATATATATATATATATATATATATATATATATATATATATATATGAGATCTAACAGACAATAATGCCAAGGAATGTATAGGGTAAGTTATTAGAACCACTGTAATGTAAATAAGAAGAAAGAAAATTCCTGCTCACGGCAAGTTATTTATGCACCCACTTTCCTTTCTTCTTATTTACATTATATTGGTTCTAATAACTTCCCCTACACATTCTTTGGCATTATTGTCTGTTAGATCTCATTATTATTGTGTCGAAAGACGGAAAAACAAGCCCTAGGTATACACTTCTTTTTCTTATAGATATGTATATATAGTGGGAGTAATAATTCAATGGGCCAGTCAGTCTTCGTGAAGGTATGGGATATGGCACAACGGGAGCGTTGTCAACAAGGATAAATATATTTATTTCCCAACAGTTTCGGGAGGGGTCCTCCCTTCATCAGGGGATGAGTTATACTGACATGAGCTTCCAAACTTCAATGCTGCCGCGTCCCTCTCGCCTTGAAAGACGTTTGCGAGAGTGAGTGGGAACTAGAAAAAGGAAAAAAAGGGGGGGAGAAAAAAGACGAAAAAAAGAAAGAAAAGAAAGAGAGTAAAAAAGAGGAAGAACCACTGTCAACACTGAGAAGGAAGCCAACTGTCCGTCTACATTCACATACGGTTCATATCACGTGCTGTTCAGTTCTTGACGTGTGTCGGGCCACCCAACATTGTCACCGCGGTGCCGGGAGGGTCCGTGACGGCGCGCGTAAAGAAAGGGGTTTCCCCGTAATGGGTCGTTCGGTGGGCGGCGGGCGGCGTGCGTAAAGGAAACGTTTCTCGTTAATGGGTCGGTCGGCTATTTACTTTTAATCTTCGTCCGTTTCCCTTCAATGGCCATGAAGTGGTAGGCGAACGTAAACCATTTGTATGTGCATGTGGAAAAAAAACTTGAAAGGACAGTGTACACGTACGAGTCAGTCAGAAAAAATCATGGTCTCCAGCTATGAATCTTTGTCACCAATTTTCTCCTGGCTTACTTCTCGGAGGCAGCTGAGTTTTCCGGGGTCCTCGTTGATGCCGGCTACTAATGAACGAAATTTGAAAATAAAATATGCCTCACGCTGTTCGCGCTCGCGTCTGTTTGAGAAACCGGACTGCAAAAGGGTTACGCTGATATTTTCAAAACTGTGGTTTGGCAGGCGCAGATGTCTAGATAAAGGTAGCTTCGGCAGTGAAGTTGCATGGTACCGGTGATTATTGAACCGCAGCCGAAATGGCGTGTCTGTTTGGCTGATATATTCTTGTCCGCAGATGTTGCAATGTAGCATGTATATTACGTTACTGGAGTCACAATTAAGGCTTTCAGATATGCGGAATTTGAAATCCGAGAAGTTCGCTTTGGATTCACGTGTTGTGACCATCTGTGGGCATACCTTGCATCGAGCTTTTCCGCAGGGATGGCGCCCTGATTGAATTTTGGGGGTGTTTGTTTTTGCTCTGACAAAAATGTCCTTCAGATTTTTATCCCAGCGGTACACCACGTGAGGTGGCTTCGCGAAAATAGAAGTTAGTCGTTTGCTTTGCCTGATTATGTTGAAATGGCGGGAAAGTATGTTGCTTATTCGTGGCGCTGATGAGGAGTAAGTTCGTACAAGGTTCGTTTGGGAAGTCGTTTTAGATACTCTGTTTGGTCCCTTAATTATATCATTCCTGTTCACGTTGCGAGCACGCAGTATGGCATCGTCAATAATGTCTTCCGGATAATTTTGTTTCAATAAGGAATGCTTTAGGTGTTCCGCGTATCTGTCAAATTCCCGCATATCGGGGCATATTCTTCGGTACCGGCCGGCCTTAGAATATAGAATACCCGTTTTGCAATGCTTTGGGTGGCTGCTGTTGAAATGTAGGTACTTTGATGGTCTGTAGGCTTTTTGTAAAGGTTTGTTGACAAGCGGTAATTTTCGACCGTGACAGTGACGTCGAAAAAGTTAATGCTAGTTTTGGAAATTTTGTGCGTGAATTTTATTGACGGGTGGCATTTGTTAAAATCCTCTATGAAGCGGAAAAGACTTCCCTCATCATGGTTCCATATCATAAAAATATCGTCTAAGTGTCTTCTGTAGTAGAAAGGTTTCAAGGTGCGTCCCTCAATGAATGGAATTTCAAGTGAAGCCATAAAGGTGCTCGCGAAGTTTGGGGCCATTTTCGTGCCCATTGCAGTGCCACTGACCTGAAGGAAATGCTTGCCGTTGAACTCAAAATGGTTATAATTTAGTACAAGTTCAAGAAGTGTAAACAGTACCTCGCCACTTACACTAGTTGATGAGTCGGATTTTACATATTCAGAAACCATTGCCGCTATTCCGTCATGGTTGGGTATGTTGGTGTAGAGTGAGCAGACGTCCATGGTCACCAGAAAACTGCCACCTGGGATGTCGAGACTTGAAGTTTCGCAGATGAAGTGGTTTGTGTCCTTTAGGTAATATGGAAAATTTAGGGGGATGTTTTTTATTAAGGAATTGATGAATTCGGATATATTTTCTGTTGATGTGCCGTTACTGGATACTATCGGACGTCCCGGATTACCTGCCTTGTGTATTTTGTGGAGCATATAGAATCGACCGGGAACAGAATGGGCCGGTAACATTGCTTTTAACATTTTGCCGGTAATTTTCTCGTCCCGCCGGAGATTGTTTAGAGTTACTTTTATCTCCCTTTCAAATTCGGGAGTCGAGTCCGTTGGAAGTCCTTTGTAGAATTTTGTGTCTGATAGCTGTCGTTCCCCTTCTTTTAAGTATTCCGACGTGTTTAGAATTACTATGCAGCCCCCTTTATCAGCCGGTTTGATAGTAATTCCAGTGTTTTTTCGTAGTTCATCGAGTGCCCTTCGTTCTGACTTTGATATGTTGTTTCGAAATGGCCGATTTTTTTCATACGCTCTGATGATATCTTTTTGAACTGCTGATATATACATATCGAGGTGTTTCTCCCTCTGCTCACCCGGACACCATGATTTGTCACCACCAATCACTCTATTCTAGTCCGTACAGTCCTTGCGATCATGAAAGTATTCAAGGAGGCGGAGATTACGCGCAAAGTTATCGAGGTCTTGGTACAGTTCAAATTCATTGAATCTACCGGATGATGGACAAAAGGTCAAGCCTCTCGACAAAAGTTGAAGCTTAGTGGGTGTGAGTGTTATGTTTGACAGATTGAGGACATTTTCTTCATAGGTTTTCGGCTGCTCTTGGCTATCACATGGCAAGGTAGTGTCAGCGTCATATTCGAGAGTAAGGATGTTTTGATTAGAATTGCACAGTAGTTTTGAGTTCCCATTTTTCTCCTCAAAGTTAGGTTGTGGTACGGGTGGTCCCTGGCGTTCTTGTACGGCCTCATTCCTATTTTCCTGTTGCAGAGCAGTGGAGCTACTGCAGTCGCGCTTGAATTTTCTATCTTTTACTACTGAAATTTCGCCTCTCTTCTTTAGTTCATATCTTTCCAGTTCTCTTGCCTCATGCTCTCCGACATTAGATACCAATTTCTGCGTGGCCTCCGTGACACTGTATTCGGCAGCCTTACGCTCACTATGGTCCGCAATGACCCGAGTCAGTTGCAAGGACGCTTCTAGTAATATTTTTGCCCACTTCCCCCTTTCTGCTTCACTTAGTGTAGACATTGAGGGGTTGCAGGCTAGGCGGAGGCCCTTAGGTGCAATTTCGTTAGATAGATATTTGGTTAGTTGTTCCGCGTGTTTTCGTATTGCACCCGCTTTTCAATGATTTTCCTAATCGATAGAAATGAGTGGGACCATGCGTGTTTAAGACTGCCCGTACCTTTTGTTTCCCCGTGTCATTTGGAAGCTGCCGCCTTGGTCTTCGCCGCATTCGTCCGCCTGGTGTTGTAAGGCCTCGCTGGTGGGAGTGGCGACGTCGTCACTGCTGTGACCCTGGATGGCTCTTTGTGTCCCTCGGCTCCCTGTTGTTGAGTGGGTTTGGCACTGGAGCGGCAACGCCTTGCACGGCAAACTCGCCGCGGTGCCGGGAGGGTCCGTGTCGCCGCGGCGCCGTCACGGACCCTCCCGGCACCGCGGCGACAATGTTGGGTGGCCCGACACACGTCAAGAACTGAACAGCACGTGATATGAACCGTATGTGGATGTAGACGGACAGTTGGCTTCGTTCTCAGTGTTGACAGTGGTTCTTCCTCTTTTTTACTTTCTGTCTTTTCTTTCTTTTTTTCGTCTTTTTTCTCCCCCCCCCCCCTATTTTTTTCCTGTTTCTAGTTCCCTCTCACTCTCGCAAACGTCTTTCAAGGCGAGAGGGACGCGGCAGCAACGAAGTTTGGAAGCTCATGTCAGTATAACTCATCCCCTGATGAAGGGAGGACCCCTCCCGAAACTGTTGGTAAATAAACATATTTATCTTTGTTGACAACGCTCCCGTTGTGCCATATCCCATACATATATATATATATATATATATATATATATATATATATATATATATATTGGTTATTTGATATGAAGTGTACCCGCGGTCAATTTTAGACGATAAACGATCATGCTAGAAGAACGTTGCGGTATATGCAAACGTGACAACTAGTCATTGAGGCGTTATACATAAAAAATTGCCTGGCCTATAGAGTGTTTGAAACATTTAGCCGTCATGCAAAGCTTTGTGGCACTGAATATTTAATAGATATAGTGATACTGGTTTCAGATTATACTCCGCAACAACGTCTTTCTTAATCTCAAGATGCTACTCTTTGACGACTACGATAGCTTATTCATTCCATTTTTAGCTTTATTTATATCTTTAGCGAAGAGTTGGTATGTGCTAAATGTTTAGCGTTATTTAAAAAAACCATACCTTTGCCTCCAGTAAGATATTTACGTTTTCTGTTATATATATTCATATTTTTATAGAAAAATACTTCTGGAGTAAATGAGGCAAATACGCTGCCAAAGTAATGTGACAAAATTCGAAAATCTCGCTGCTTGAGTCTTATTGTGGCCGATTTTCGCAATGTAGTCGTATAATAAAATAATAGCTTATTGATTGCTGAATAGAATAGTTTCCGAGAAAGACATCCAAGAAGTTTCAAAAGTGTAGTTTTTTTTAAACAAGAAATAAAAATTATCTAAGCGAACCACAATGTAGTAAAAAACCTGCCTTCAGCCTCACCTTCACTGCAAAGCACGTCACGTGAGTAGTCAGATGAGCTTTTGCGCAGATAGTAATATATGTCATACAGCTGCTTGCCACTCGTTTTAGGGATAGCATAGTACAGAACGTGAAAAATGGCTATGGTTATAGTTTCATATAAATATATCTTTCCTTCTAAGCCATAAAGAGGCCCCGCCACGGTGGTCTATTGGCTAAGGTACTCGGCTGCTGACCCGCAGGTTGCGGGATATAATCCCAGCTGCGGCGGCTGCGTTTCCGATGTAAGCGGAAATGTTTTAGGCCCGTGTGCTCAGACTTTGGTGCACGTTAAAGAACCCCAGATGGTCGAAATTTTCAGAGCCCTTCACTACGGCGTCTGTCATATTCATATGGTGGTTTCGGGACGTTACACACCACATATCTATCTTAGGCCATAAAGGGCAGATTTCGTTCAACTGCTTCTTGATCCGAAGGGCCCGATTTTGAATAGAGTTGACAACCTGCAATACAGTATAGGGCCGTTGTGTTCAGCTTCTAATAATTAATAAAATTTCTTGACAAATTTTAATGACATATTCGAAGTACACGTTACCTAAGCTAGTTTTATGATGTTTCAGGTATAGGCCGAAGCATGATCGCTTAACACTGCTTTATGCGCTGAAATTAGGCATACTAGGTGATGCATACACTCTCATTGATCTTCTCTCTAAGTTTTTGCCCTTTAATAAAGAGCGACTACAAGAGCCTCCTGTACTTAAGTAAACGTAATGATCTCCTCGTTCACCCTAAAAGAAGGTTTGGCATTTGAAATATATTACCAAATGAAAGAACAGCAATATTAGTTATTTTTTAACCAGGATATTATTCTTTTAGAATCCAAAACATTACCACTAGAGCTATGGAAACACATTGGAAACCTTGAGTGCATAAGTTTGCAAAAGACTGCCACACTTTAATTCAAAGTATAATCTTGGTATACTTTATTTTATTTGCAGCATAAAAACCAGAATAAAAGTTACTGCCGTTAAATACTTTGGATATCGCCATTACAGAAATGCGTTACAGCTAGACAAAGGTAAGGAGCAAATATCGTTATGTTTAGAACTATGATAAGAATACTCATTATTTAAAATGAAAGGTGAGAATGTTCAAATAATAATTATTATGAAACGCTTTCAACAAAAAGATATGCGCTGTTGCCGACTCAGGTAAAGCAGTTCCTTTCTTAGCGGAAATTCCCGTAAAGTGCAATTTGTTACAGATTCACATGTTGGCACTCCGTGGCCAATGTCAGCCGGCGAATCGCTGCTCATCATATCTAGGACATTGACTGTCGTAAATTATGCTGCTTGCGGTGGCCGCTTAAATGTCATGTCATTACGATCGATCGCCAAACGTGTCGATGCAATGGCGGTAAACTATTGGTGTGTTCAAGACACTGACGGTTCTGTGTCGAAGTACTGTTGGCACGCTTATAGGGACCACGCGTGCAACCCTAAACGCTAAAGATGTTTTCACTTAACAAATCAGGACTTCATTTATTTGCGTAATGAACATCGGAAGCATTTTTTAAAACACTAAGAAATGAGATAAAGTTCCTGTGTCTTTTTTTCTTCTTTTTATGCTTGAGGGGTGCGCTGCAAGTTTCAAGCTAGTCGCCGTTCTTCACGTGACATTACAACTTTTTTTCTGTTGCATGATTTTTCTCGCTATTGTAACGAAACAATGCACAGTAAATGCTCGACAGCCTGTCGGAAGCACTTTACCTTTCGTGTTATTCTGATTCCTAGACAGGGAGATCAGCTGTGTTTTCGAAGTACGATTCTGGTACTAAATTAAGGCTCTAAACCTTATCGCAAGCATCAATTCATGAGGCCTGCGTACATTAGGAGGTCACCAAACACTCAATAATACATTTATATTCCAAAAAATATGCGTAATTGAATTTTGTAACTACACTATTGTGTAGGAGCATGAAGCACTGAACGGACGACGTGTACATGGGCTCAAAAACGTCGCTTACTGGCCTTCGTCCAACTCCTCCGTTCAATGCCTCCCCCCTCCTCCTGGCAATAATGCTGCATCTGAGGGCCTGACTTTCCATCTCCGTAGCTACAGTTCTATTGAGCTAGCGCCTGGGCCCACGAAATTTATTTTGGAGCACCATATCACACCGAAATTCATTGAAAATAAAATTATCAAGACAAAGAAAGTAACCTTGAAAAGGGCGCTGAATTTTGTGTCTGACACTTTTGCCTGTGACCGAGGTGAAATGTACTACGCAACATTTTGACTCATTTATTATTAGTAATTAGGTTCGATTCAAGCCTTGACCGGCCTGTATAATGCAAATTGCTGTGTTCCTAATACAGTCACGGGAACAGCCTTAGGAGGTGCGCCCAGACTTCTTTGTTCTTTTACTCGCAGTACACACCTTAGTAAAAGGTGGAGAAAGAGGAAACGCCAGTCTCACAGTCCACGTCTCGCCTTCTCAAACTTCCAGATTTCACGTTGTATGCTCAGCGTTTTCACGTGATCGCACCGCGGCTATCCCGCCCTATTGCAAAAACCAGCGCCACTAGGTACCAGCGTCTAGGGCCATGCATGATTATAGGTCCAATATGGCGCTGATACCAGCGCCTCCCAGTGCAGTTAGTGGGACGCTGGAGCGCCAGCGTACCAGTACTGTGTGCAAAATAGCTTCTCAGGGATAAAAACGAGGGTGCCCATTCGCCATAAATAAATAAATATATATATAAGTAAAATCACGCGCATTCACAATTAAAATTAAAAAACTGAAAACAAAAATGAAACACTGCTTGACGGGATTTGAACTCGCTACCTCTTGATCTCTATCTGAGTACGCTACCCACTATGCCACGCCAGAACTTTTTTTATCTTTTTTTTTCATGGTATTTAATAAAGTACTTGCGCAATAAAGACAATATCAAGCGAACAAAAGTACAATGAAATCGCGAAAGTAAGCGCTCAAGCGTTACTCATAAACACTAAATGGCTAACACAGCGTGAGTTCGTCACATGGAGAGTTCTTCACAGCGTGTTATACTACCAAAAAAGGGGTGAGGTGAAACAGTTCTCTAAGACGGAGTACCAGTCCGGTCTAAAGTCTAGCTCGTCGTAATTGTTTTTTAGATGGATAGCCATTTGAATGAAGTGTGCGCTTGAAGAGGTGGTGGACTCTGCATTGCGGTCTTGCATTCGTGTCTTCCACAAGCTGTGCATTCCCATAGGAAAAACATATCATATGGTACTTCATGAAGCGCTGCTGGTAGAAGATAACGTATTGTGTGAGAATTATTGACGAAACGTTTTTTCAGTGCTCGCTGAAGGACATCCCAAAACAGTATGGCATCTTTGCAGCTAACAAAGCAATGTCCAATCGTTTCCGGCACATCACATAGACGGCAGTTAACAGACGGAATGAAAATACCCTTTCTTTCTAACCATGTGTTTACCGTCAATGTTTCAGAGCGGAGTTCAAAGAAGAATGTTTTTGAATTCGGTGGAATGTACATTTTGCGCACTCGCTTCAACACATAGTGGCCTGGAAGATTGGAGTACAGTGAGCGGTACAAATGAGGTGGGAAGAGTGTACTCAGTAGGTCGTTATACAGCACCTTGCACGGTACTGTGTACAGGTATTCTACAAAAAAGCGAGCTTTAAGAAACTGAACTGCGAGGTAAACTTCCTGCATGAATCCCCACAAGCATGGGCGTTCGGAGAAGTTAGATGAAACACTTAAATCTGGTAAGCAATCAACAAGTATAACCTGTAAGAAGGAACGGATTACAGGATGGGAATTGTCTCGAAAAAAGAAGAATCGGGACACTATTTGCCATAGATAAAGGTGTTTTAGTTCTAACCCACCCTCACTAACTGGCTTGATTATATTGACACGTGTGGTTCTTTTGGTTTACGAAGAAAGCCGCTATCACTTTCTGTTAAGCGCAACGCAGGCCGCGTTTATCTTGTATGCCACTCTGGAACGCGTTATGACGCGTATATAAAAGACTGACACGTGCGGTTCTTTTGGTTTACGAAGGAAGCCGCTATCACTTTCTGTTAAGCGTAACGCAGGCCGCGTTTATCTTGTATGCCACTCTGGAACGCGTTACGACGCGTGTATAAAAGCCGGCGCAGTGCGCCACTGGGGGGTCTTTTTTTTCCGTCGGCCGACGACGGTTCACGCCGCAGTTGCTGTGAGTTGTGTTTGGCCTTGTTCTGCTGAGCACAAGTTCGCCCAATAAACAGTTCGCCTGACACCGCCCTGACTCCTGCGTGCTTCCTCTCAAGTGCTGCGTGTATCACAACCTCGTGACATCTGGTGGAGGTGCTTCTCGGTCCATGTACCGTACGCCCCCGTCCAGCCGTGAGCCAAGCCCAAGCCGCCAAGAGGACGACACCGACCCGGTCGTTCGAGTGAGCCGAAGACAACAAGGACTACCGCCCGAATACCTGCCGCTCCCCGACAAGGACAAGAAAACAAAGGCTGCTACGAAGCCGGCATCCACGATGACGGAAGCAAGGTCTTCGGCAACCGTGGTCGTCAACCAGCACAAAGAGCCGCCTACCTTCCGCGGATCGACCAACGAAGACCCGGAAAGCTGGCTTGACATTTACGACCGCGTCGCAGCCCTCAATAAGTGGGACCCGGACGACAAGCTGCGTCATGTGTATTTTTACCTGGAAGACGCCGCAAGGACTTGGTTCGAGAACCGCGAGTCAACGCTTCGAACCTGGGACGACTTCCGCGTTGCTTTCCTGCGCACCTTTGCAAGCGTCGTGCGGAAGGAAAGAGCCGCATCACTGCTTGAAACTCGGGTGCAGCTCCCCAACGAAAACGTAACGATCTTCACGGAGGAGATGACGCGACCTTTCCGCCACGCCGACGCCGACATGTCTGAGGACAAGAAGGTTCGCCTGCTTATGCGAGGAGTGAAGCAGGAGCTCTTCGCCGGACTGATCAGAAACCCGCCAAAGACGGTACAAGAGTTCCTCTCCGAGGCTACTACCATCGAGAAGATTCTTGAAATGCGGACCCGCCAATACGATCGGCGCATGTCGCCAGACGTCGCAGAAGTCCGAGGACTCTGCCCCGACGACCTGCGCGAGACCATACGCGCTATTGTTCGTGAAGAACTGCGCCGCATGTTGCCATCGTCTCAGCCCCAAGTCGCCTCTCTCGAAGACGTAGTCCGCGAGGAACTACAGCGCTCACTGGGCGTTCCTGAACGGCCACAGCCCCAACCGGAGGCGATGACCTACGCCGCTACTGCACGACGACCTGTCGCCGCTCCTCGCCAACACCAGGACCCAACGTCTCCGCAGTTTCGCCGCCAACCACCGCCGCCACCCCCGACGCCTTCCCGCTCGCCAGTAATCCAGCGCTCGCCGAGGAAAACTGACGTTTGGCGCACCCCGAACCACCGCCCACTATGCTACCACTGCGGCGAAGCCGGGCACACCTACCGCTACTGCCAGTACCGTGAGATGGGACTGCGTGGCTTCGACGTGAACGCGCCGCGTCCGCGCCCAGGTGAGCGACCTCGCGCTATCGCCGACTACATCGCCGGATCGCAGTGGCAACAACGACGACCATCCCGTTCACCTTCGCCTGGCCGCTACGTCTCCCCGGATCGCCGCCAGTACACCGGCCCTAACCGGGGCCGATCCCCAAGCCTCTACCCGGGAAACTAAAGGCAGCAACCGATGGAGGTGCGGTTGCTGCACGACGCAATACCGAAGATCCTCCTCCGCCGCCGCCGCCGCTGCCGATGACGACGACCACGACGCACGAACTTTCCCGACGTAGTCGCAGTACGCCGCCTGAGCAGAGTCTTTACGACAAAGCCTCGCCGCCGACGCGACATAGCAGCACCGGACCAAGCCGACGCAGCCGTGATCCGACGCCCCGACCTAACCGGAACGCCAGACGACGAACCACCGACCTCGACGTGATCATCGACGGCCACAGCGTCACCGCCCTAGTCGATACCGGCGCCGACTACTCTATCATCAGTGGTCTCTTCGCCGCTAAGCTCAAGAAGGTAAAG